AAACATTCTTCCCTGATGGGAACAGTTTATTAAATTATAAATATATAACAATGCACTGAAGTATCTTTAAATATTAAAGGCCATTGTATTAAGTACATACAGCGCGCTCTACAAATGATAATCGCTAGGTTCAGTGACTATTATTAGTAACCTACATTTAATTCATTGTTCATTTAAAGGAAAATGCAGATTTGGCATTTGTTTTCCAAGTAATGCTTTGGGCGTCACTTGCTCTTATATCCATTTTTAACTGAGTGAACGCTGTCACATCCTAGATCCTGCTGATTTAATAGGATGAATAATGCCCTGATATTACAAGGTTGGCTGAGTTCACTTTATGTTGAATCATCAGTAGTTATGGACAACAGAGAGTCACTTAATGGACAAATTATAATGAAGCTCATGAAATCATCTGCAAAAAAATTTTTTTTTAATTTATTCACGACAGGTGTCAGGCAGCATTTTTTATTATTGTGTACAAAAGTGTTTCTCAACCTTTTTCAGTCATGGCACCCTTTACAATTCTGCACAACCTTGAGGCACCCCATTACAAAATGTAAAAGAACTAAACGAATAGTTTTACAGAATGCAGCAACATTTACACATTTACGACACCCAGGGTTAGAGGTGATTTATCTTTTCAAAGCAAATACAGGAGCACCTCGGTTTTCGAACGTCTTGGTTAACGTAATTTTTGGTTTATGAATGAAAATCCTTTGAAAATAATGCATCGCTTACGAATTTTTTTCGCAATACAAACTGATTAATTGGTTTTCAATGCATTTACAAATTTTTTTTAATCATGTCCTTGTACAGTACTATGCCTTTAAAGTGCACTTTATAAAGAGTTTTGAACAGATAAAACTTTTTTTTTTTTACTTTTTTCTGACCTCCAGAACGGATTAATTGGTTTTCAGTGCATTTACAAATTAATTTTTAATCATGTCCCTGTACAGTATTTATGCCTTTAACCACTTCCCGTCCGGCCGTTGTATATAAACGTTTGGACGGTGGCAGTGCAGGGTCGGGTGGCTGTTTATAAACGGCCTCCCCGCACCCTGCTTGTGCGCGCTCCCAGGAAACGCACAGCACCCTGATCCAGTGCCCGCTGTGTCCTCCGGACACAGTGAAACACCGATCGTCGAACGGGACCTCTGTACGAGGTCCCGATCATGTGATCACTGATTGGCCAATCAGTGATCACATGCAAAGTAGTAAGCAAGATTTCACTTGTGACATCATTGCTTACTACGTGTGAATCTGTGAATGATCACAGAGGTCACATGGTACAAGGCTATTCACAACAGCCTTTTACCATGTGACAAGCTGTGACTAATCGCAGCTCACACAGTAGTTCTCAATGGCTGCAAGAATGCAGACAGAGAGAAAGAGAAATGATTGCTTTTACATCCTATATGGGTGTAAAAGCAATCAGTGTAAAAAAAAAAATCTTCATCACCCCCCACAAGTAGTACAGTGTCACCATGGTGACACTGTACTGCTAGGGTGACAGTATGTAAAAAAAAAAAACAAAAACAAATTATAATATAAAAAAATAAAATAAAAATGTAAAAAAATGGTTAAAAATTATATTTTTTGGTTCTAAACTAATTTGGCTTATTTTTTTTTTTTACTAAAAAGATAATGGAATAAATTTTGGCCAAGACTTATGATGAAATATTATTTATTTGCAAAATTTTATAAGAAAAACACTTTTTTCTAAGTTTTTGGAGTTTTTAATTTACATAGCTAAAAAAATCCCAGCGGTGAATAAATACTACCAAAATAAAGCTTTATCTGTCTCAAAATAATGGTAAAAAATCCATATGGATACAGTGTTGCATGACCGCGCAATTATCATTCAAAGTGTGATAGCACTGAAAGCTGAAAATTGCCCTGGACAGGAAGGGGGTACAAGTGTCCGGAGAGGAAGTGGTTAAAGTGCACTTTATAAAGAGTTTTGAACAGATAAAATACTTTTTTTTTAACTTTCTTCTGACCCCCAAAACGGATTAATTGGTTTTCAATGCATTCCTATGGGAAACTGCATTTCGGTTTACGAATTTTTTGCAATACGAAAAGTCCCGCAGAACAAATTAAATTCGTAAACCGAGGTATGCCTGTACACTTTTGCACCCTGGTACTGACTAGTATTCCAATGTTTCTTTTCTCCCTCAGTTTCTCTCTCTCACTCAGCTTGGGTGACTCCTGTGCTGATGGAAAGAGGCAGGGGAGAGGCAAGCAAGGGTGCTGTGCAGGAGCCGATGTCTTTCTTATCCACTGATGACATCATTGGTTGTCAAGTTGCTGGCGGCTAGAAAGCTGTAATGGTGCTCAATGAAAACCTATGGCTTTGTGTATCTGAAAAGGCAAGCTCGATCCACCTGCTGGTATGTATATCATTTTGTTGGGCAATTTTTAGGTATTTTGCCAAGTCCATTCTTGGGGTTTTGTGTGGAATGTATCAAATTTGGCTTTTTGTTTCTCCACTTTTTTGTGTCATACCAATACAAACAAAAGAAATAAACATGTCAATACCTAAACATTTGTAACTGCAACATTTTTCTGGGCGAAGTGGTGCATTATCTGACAGAAATGCAGGGGTGCCAACATTTTTGGCCATGACTGTACTATATGTAACAGGTTCATCAATACCCGTATCTTGTCTTCTGAGCTTCCCACAGGCTGGGAGGGTCCTGATTACCCATCTAGGGGTTATGTATACATTGTGTGTGGTTGGATAGCACATGTATTGTTTAATGTGCTTTTGTTTAGTGGTGTTCTTTTTTTCTTTCACCTTTTTATGGTGAACAGCTTTCTGATTGAACTGTCTATGTTTAATTTCTTCTCTTTGTTCTTTTTGTTACTGATTTAGTGTCATTATAACCAGGGGCGGACTGACCATTTGGAAACTCGGGCACTGCCCGAGGGCCCGGGGTCAGTAGGGGGCCCCATGAGATGCCCCTGGTACCTTTTTCATAGGATTTTTTGAGTTTGGGCAAGGACACAGGGGCCCCATGATCCCCTATTGCCCGGGGCCCCATGAGTTGTCAGTCCACCCCTGATTATAATATAAGTCGGATTGGTTTAAATTTGTAATTTTTCATTTACTTATCTCTGTAGATGGAGTAATATTAATTTAAGGATTTGTAAGAAGACACATCCAGAGTCCTGAGGAAGCTGAATATCTTTGAAATGCATAGACTACAATACAACACATTTTCGGGACATTTGACCTTGATAATATATATTTTGCCATCAAAAGTTTTTTTTTATCGGTGAACAGTTGATTTTAACACTTATGTATTCAAAAAAGTTATGATTTTATATAGAAGTATCATCACTCACATGATGATACTACTAATTGGCATATCAGCTCAGATGTCACTCAACTTCCTCAAACAATCTTTCTAAAACGGAGCTCATACTATTCCCTCCAGCCCATTCCCCCTCCCCTGACTTCTCCATCAAGATCAATAATACAACCATCAGTCCCTCCCCTCATGCCAGGGCACTATATGTAATCCTGGACTCCCTTCTGTCCTTTCAGCCCCAAATCCAATCACTGTCCAAATCTTGTAAACTTCACCTCTGCAACATCTCCAAGATATGCCCTTTTTTAACCACCGAAACCACTAAGCAACTTATTCACTCCTTGGTCATCTCTCGCCTTGAGTATTGTAAATCCCACCTCATTGGCCGACCTCATCGCAGGCTATCCCCTCTTCAGTCTAACATGAATGCTGCTGCCAGACTCATCCACCTTACTAACCGTTCCGTATCTGCCATCCCTCTCTGCCAATCCCTCCACTGGCCTCCACTCAGTGTCCTCCATCCCTCTCTGCCGATCCCTCCACTGGCTTCCCATTGCCCAACAAATAAAATTCAAAACATTAACAATAACATATGAAGCCATTTATAACTCTGCCCCAAATTACATCGCCAATCTTGTCTCCAAATATCACTCAAACCGTACTCTCCGCTCCTCCCATGACCTCCTGCTCTCTAGCTTCCTTGTTTCCTCCTCCCATGCTCATCTTCAGGACTTCTCAAGAGCCTCCCCCATCCTCTGGAACTCTCAAACCCAATCTATCTGACTATTACCTACTCTGCCCACTTTTAGGCGATCTCTGAAAACCTATCTCTTCTGGGAAGCCTATCCTGCCCTCAGCTAATAACTGAATCTTGTATTTCTCCTATCAGTTCATCCCCCACAGTTATTACATTTTGTACCACCGGCCCCTCCTTCTAAGATTGTAAGGGCCCTCCTAACCCTCTTGTATTGAACTGTATTGTTGCTGTATTGTCTCCCGTTATATTGTAAAGCACGGAGCAAACTGTTGGCGCTATTTAAATTCTGTATAATAATAATCATAATGTTGAGTCAATACTTTCTTGGGGTGCAAATCTAAAAGTCCCCACAAATATTTTGTACTATTGTCATGGAAATATAGAATATTTGTATTGGGGTGAGTCTTAAATTACTTTGACTACTTGGTTTAATGTTTGACAGTTCCTCTCACTCCCTTGCAGGAGAAAAGGTTGTCTCTGGGAAGTTGAGCAAGATCTCGTTTACACTTGTGGTTGGAGGCAGCATAAAAATGCAAGGCTGAGCCAAGTTTCACTGCCCCCAACCACTCTACCTTAACCTACAAAGGTAGTGGAGTGTACAAAAACGTTTCCTCACTGTTGCATTCGTCGGACATTATCACCCACCAAACGCAACCCATGTAACTGCTCCCTACAAGTGCCTGCAATGCACATAGTTGCAGCACACTGGTTTGGGGTTTGACACAGGTTGTGAGCAGATGATATAAGACCACCTCACCACTTGTCAATAGTCCTGTGAGGAACGATCCAATGCCAATCCCTTTTCAGAGGGAAACATGTGTATAAATGAGTTCTAAGATTATATCTCTCTAATGGAATGAGAAAAACTTGACAGAGGTCCTTCCCACTGTATCCAAATGTAAAAAAAAACTTTGTCTGTAGACACACTTTAACCTCCCTGGCGGTATTCCCGAGTGTAGCTCGGGGTAAAGTTTCAGTACCACAAGCGGTAACCCCGAGCTACACTCGGGCTTACCATGCGGCGCTTCTCCACGATCCCTCAATCACTTACCTTGTCCTGCGCTCCCACGATGTCCCTCCTGCAGTGTCCCCGGCATTTGTCATCTGGGTTCCATCCCCTGCGAGCGTCGGGATGTACGGGGGACGGAACGGCAGGAAATTTGAAAATGACAAAAAGTGACATTCACTAAAATCACTAAAATCACATAGTATAACATTCCTGTATCAAACCATTTCACATACATTTTGTCCCGAGTGCTTTGTCCTGCGCCCTGCCTGCATTTTTACTGTTCTTTCTGCCTGGAAACTGAGAAGCGTCCATGGCGTCCAAAAAGCGTCCCTTTAGGTCAAAAGCGGTTTTAGACCGGCTAGAGAACAGCGATAGTAAATCAGAACCACTTGCAGAATTGAGTGATAATGATTCGTGGGGGAAATTCCTCATCAGACACTGAAAACGATTCTGCGACTTTGCTCAGTGATGTGCGAACTTGGCGCTCTATTTCAAATTTCAGTGTTTTTGGTTTGATTATATTATTGAATTAAATTTATTATTATATTATAATTTTTTGGATTATTTATTAAATTATAATTTATGATTTAGTGTTTCAAGTTTTATCCTACCCGGGATGTTTACTAGACTCTTGTTCGGTTCGGCCTACAATAAAAAAAATACATATTTCCATGCAAAAAAATGTACCACTTTGAGCACAGAAATACTGACATAATCAGACCGCTAGGGAGGTTAATGAAGATGGAAAGGCATTCCATAATGAAAACCCCAAATTGTCTTTCTATCATAGCTTTAGAACTATGTACTGTAAGATATACTGTAATTATCCTTAAAAAAAAGAAAAGCAAACAGGAGGCGCAAACACCTAGTGCGCTATCCAAGGTTTATTAGAAGGTCAAAAAGATGAAAACATACTCACAGACATAGCATGATTGTAAAGCTTAGTATGGAAATCAATAAGGCCACAACAGAGGGCAGGATGTTCCAGTTGTCAGTGTGGTCTGGCTCTGACGCGTTTCGGGGACGAGTCCCTTTCCTCAGAGCTCTCCATCCATTCATCTCAAGTTCCTGCAGTGAGAAGTGAGAAGAACTTTCTTCGATGACAGTGCATGTGCAAGTGAACAAATTTTTCATAACTAATGAAGCTAATATTCTTGGCTTCTAGGTACTGACAATGCCACATGGATCAGCCTTTTGCAATAAAGATAGCGTTGTTGGTAACGAACCGGAATGTAAAGTGAGGAACATCAGAATCAACAGGTAATAGCTTAACTGAATGTTGGAATAACAAAAAGTGCATATAGTCAGTGGCCATACTGTATTTAAAAGAAAACTTGTGTTATAGAATTTTTCATTTTTGCCAGGAGAGACACTTTTAGAGGATGAAGAACAGTGGTGGGACCATGATACGTTCTACTCATTTTAGCTATGCATAAAAAAAGGAAAGAAGAATTAAAGTGTTACAAAACCCAGGAACCTGCATTCACTATATCCAGTCTCCCCGGACCCTGCATTCACTATATCTGGTCTCCCCGGACCCTGCATTCACTATATCCGCTCTCCCCAGACCCTGCATTCACTATATCTGGTCTCCCCGGACCCTGCATTCACTATATCTGGTCTCCCCGGACCCCACATTCCCTATATCCAGTCTCCCAGGACCCTGAATTCACTATATTTGGTCTCCTCTGACCCCACATTCCCTATATCCAGTCTCCCAGGACCCTGCATTCACTATATCCGGTCTCCCCAGACCCTGCATTCACTATATCTGGTCTCCCCGGACCCTGCATTCACTATATCTGGTCTCCCCGAACCATGCATTCACTATATCTGGTCTCCCTGGACCTTGCATTCACTATATCTGGTCTCCCCGGACCCTGCATTCACTATATCCAGTCTCCCCAGACCCTGCATTCACTATATCTGGTCTCCCCGGACCCTGCATTCACTATATCTGGTCTCCCTGGACCTTGCATTCACTATATCTGATCTCCCAGAACACTGAATTCACTATATCTGGTCTCCCCGGACCCTGCATTCACTATATCTGGTCTCCCCGGACCCTGCATTCACTACATCTGGTCTCCCCGGACCCTGCATTCACTATGAACCAGCAAACACAAATGCTCCTGCGCTTGGGGATGGACTCGATGCTACAACCACATTAAGAATGTCCTGGAACATGCACACCTTGCTGCCCTCAAATGGACCGGGGGAATCCAAATATACTGAATGGGGAAAGAACAAAAAGAGGGCGCACAGGCCTAGTGCATTACCATAAAAAATGTTTAATAAAAAATAATAAAGTAGGTGTTGTACTCACAAACGACAATATAGTCAAGGCACATCATAAAAGAACAGCTGGATCAACACCGCGCTGACGTTTGCCATTTAAATCACAAAAATAACAGTCCGCAATAGGGAGTTTAGACATCCAAAAGGCTGACGCGTTTCGAGGACTTGCCTCTTCCTCAGAGCCCTGAGGAAGAGACCAAGTCGGAACCTCACCGATATGACCGCTCCAATTGCGGACAATAGGGTGCGACTTGGCATGCAATTTGCAAGTCACAGGGCATGCAAATCACTTGCCAAGTCACATCCAGAGTGAACCAGGGCTTAATGCATGTTTTTGTGGGCAAAGGGTCTTCAAAAGTGAACCATTAAAGAACATTGCTTGGACTGATGATTCTGCATTTCTAGCATGGCGTGTGGATGGCAGGGTTGGTATCAGGGGCGGAATGACCATTTGGAAACTCGGGCACTGCCCGAGGGCCCGGGGTCAGTAGGGGGCCCCATGAGATGCCCCTGGTACCTTTATCATTGGCTTTTTTGAGTTTGAGCAAGGACACAGGGGCCCCATGATCCCCTATTGCCCGGGGGCCCCGTGAGTTGTCAGTCCGCCCTTGGTTGGTATTAGATGTAGACAAATCCCTTGTGATGAGGTGGAATCCAAGGCTGTGGCTAACAAATATACAGAAACTTTTTTTTAGGAGATCAAGTCTACAAAAAAAATAAATCCATAAAAATGTCCAAGCACTTTGTTGAGACCATACCAAGATGAATTTGGGCAAAGGGGAGTCTTAGTAAGAGACAGGGGTGCCTAATAAAGTGGCCATAAACTTGGCAATAGCATGCACAAAATGAAACCCAGAACACTTTCCCTTTAAAAACCCTCACTATCATTTTTAAATTGCAAAGAGGATTTGTTAGCTAGTGATTTGCTAGAGCATGACGCAAAACAGACCGAAATGTATCAGAACAAATATACGTTTGGGGATTCTGCTTGCATATAAGTGCATATTAAAAATACATGGCTCCCAGTCTCACCCACACAAATATGTCATTATTTGGTTGCATTGTTTATATCAAGAAAAATAACCTTTCATTTATATTGCTGTACCAGCTTGGTAGACTCCACCCGTGTGTTTTAAATCATTTTCGTCTGCCTAAAATTATCATAAAACCCTTGAATGGTTCAGTAAGTATGCAGAGAAATATTTGAGGTGATACAAGATAAGCCGACAGTTTTGTTTTTGCTGATGCAATGAGTGGATTGTATACATATTTATTTTTAATTTATACTTGTGTATTGAGATTCACAGATTTGAATTTTTAAAGTGTTTACTGGAATACAGTAAATGCTTGGTGAAAGGATTAGGAACGTTTTGGTTCATGGTATTTTGACAAAATTTACAAAAAAATATCAACTTCAGCTTTATTTTTTTCCCCAGCCAAAATCCCATTAGCAAAATATAGGATTGGGCCACATGACAAAAAAAAAAAAATGTCCTATAGGGTACAAGAGGATAGAGTCAAATCACAAATGTATCTATTAAATATAATATTATATATATATGTACACAGTATGTATATATATATATATATATATATATATATATATATATCCATTTTAGATATATATATAATATATAATAATATAATAATATATATATATAATTTTAAAATATAATAATATTTTAAACTATCTATCTATCTTACTTTTTTCTCTTTTTTTTTTATTGACTACTCCAGATAGTCCTGTCTCTTTTAAAAAGAAGAAGACAGGCGTGCCCTTCCTCTGATTCTTTCTGCAGTATGTATAAGCTGATCCCTTCATAACTGACAAAGCCAGAAAGCCTTGTCTCTGCTAAGAATGTTCATTTTAATCTCTCTTGTTCATAAAGTCAAACACTACCTGCATGCTTGCTGGGAACTATGGATGTGGAAGGTGCTAGCACCCACTGCTTCCCTAGCAATCATTGACAGATAGGAAACTATTGTATACAGTATCAGGGGCGGACTGACTATTTGGAAATTCGGTCACTGCCCGAGGACCCGGGGTCAGTAGGGGACCCCATGAGATGCCCCAGGTACCTTTTTCATAGGCTTTTTTTGAGTTTGGGCAAGGACACAGGGGCCCCATGATCCCCTATTGCCCGGGGGCTCCATGAGTTGTCAGTCCACCCCTGTACAGTATAGTAAGTAGAAGTACTGCTACTACATAATGTTTGTATCCCATTGAACTGGCTAAAACTCCAATGTTTGAATGAATGTCCGTTCATTCGTTCATTATTTTTAGGACAATGCAGTGTGGTAGAAAAAAAAAATAAAAAAGGTCACAACCAGGGGCGGACTGACCATTTGGAAATTCGGGCACTGCCCGAGGGCCCGGGGTCAGTAGGGGGCCCCATGAGATGCCCCTGGTACCTTTTTCATAGGCTTTTTTGAGTTTAGCCAAGGACACAGGGGCCCCATGATCCTCTATTGCCCGGGGGCCCATGAGTTGTCAGTCCGCCCCTGGTCACAACCTATATATAAAGCTTTTGAGCCACTGGCCAATTTATACAAAGTGGAGGACCTTGACTTTTTCCTATAGAGTTTAGATATGTTGTAGCTCCTATTTGCACAATTCAGTTCAGGCCTATTATCACAGGCGTCCCTGGAAAAACTTCAAAAACATTATTTTCAAGTTGTGCCAAATTAGATTTGGGTGCTGCTGTTGTATTTCAGCCAAGTAACAATATAAAAGTTGAAATACCAATTACAGATCCAAAATAAGTGATGACAGTGTCACTGATGTTGTCTGTGAAAATCGTACTGTTCTGCAACACCATATACAACTTAAAGGCATCTCCTAGGGCACGGGTGTCAAACTGGTGGCCCTCCAGCTGTTGCTAAACTACAAGTCCCATGAGGCATTGCAAGATTGACAGTTACAAGCATGACTCCCAA